TCCGCACGTTTCACTTAATATTTGGAAGAATTGGTCCACACTTCTTATCGTCTATAACCCTCTCTCCGCCATGTATATAATATATATACATCATACTAGGCAAGATATTCTTCTGTATTGTTCCCTGACAATTCCATCAGAAATCAAGACTTTGAGCATACACTCCAGTTAATCAGAACTCCCATCCAAACCCCTTAAATCCCAGCTCTTAAATCACAGCATTCAAGCCTTTGATCGCCATAATTCCTTAAACCTCGTAGTGCCGTGAGTTATAACAGACCGAGAGGAGAGCCAAGCAGGCCCCGCAGCACCCGTTCGAGCAGCCCTGTTTGTTCGATTAGCATAGCGGATAGCCGTCGTAAGAGCCGAGGCCGAAAACCGACGTCCGAGACTTTTTGTTTTCAGATTTTTCGTTTCCGTTCCATTCCCGAAGAAGGTATACGGCTTTACCTCACTTCTTTCTTTTAGAGTTTAATTTGAAGGTTATATCATGCTTAAGGTTCGTAAGATTTAAATGAATTGAATTCATGAAATAAGAATTGTGTAAATTACAAGATTCATGAATTTTAAAGTGGTAAGGATTGATGTTGAACTCTCGGATTCTTGTCAACTAGCCTCTGAAAGTCTTGAGCTTATTTGTAAGCAGCAGAGATGGTTTATTTTAATTTGTTTTCAAGTAAGATTTCATAAAATAAAAACCTATGGCTTTATGTCAATCCCTTTATTTATTTTCGAAAATGGAGGATTGAGCAGGCTGAGATATTGATGAGAAATTTGATCTTTGATTTTAAGTGTTAGTGGCTGTAGGTAATTCTATTTTAATTTGCCTTTAAGTACTTTAAGCAAATCAAAACCTGTTGCATAGACTTATATGTTCGAAAGGTTTAAGCAGGCTGCGAAAATTGTCAGTATATAAGCCACGGCTATATTTCTTTTAGTCCTGAAAATATTTGGTTTATATGCCTTTAGTTTTGGTTTAAGATGTTTTCATTTACCTTACAAATAAATTGAGAAAAATGGAATTTTTATAAATTAATTCAGGCCATATTAAGTTGAAAAATATGGTATTATGGACTCCAAATGTTTTTAAAAGTTGGTCGTAAGATGTGTCGTTGGGTCGAGGAAGTTGTCGGGAAAGAATCGAGCATGGTATCGGGTCACGACAGTCGGGATGCTGCCAGGCCACTGCCGCGAGCACGCAGGCGCACCCGTAAGCAGGCGGGCAGCCGGCACTTGCCGCGTACGTCGTGTGCCGCGAGGCCCGTGTGTTAGCAGCCTGTGCGACTCTCTACTGCCGACCCTACCGTGCGAAGAAGACTCCCGCGACCTACAAAGCCCTGCGTCCCGTCCTTTGCGGTCAACTCCTTTTTCCAATCCTGAACCAAATTTTAATAGTTTT